AGTTGCGTTCAAGTTGCGTGTTCTTATGTCAATGCCTGGTCCCCTGGCCCTCCAGATATATGAGATTCGTGGCAAGTTTATTAATGCAGTTTGTAGCCTCGAGCTCCCTTAGATGAAACCTTGGTCTGCGACAATTCTTAATTATGTAATAGCCCTGTGGCTGTACTCTATAGGTCGCCGAAAGAGGAAGTGTGATCGGCTGCAAGTACCGACCTATATAGTGGAAATATTTGAAATCGCTTCGAACACAACGCATGCTCTGGATGAAGGACTTCTAGCATTAGAACGGGATTTATGGCTTAGAGTGATTTATCTTATAGCCTTTTGAATAGGAAATATGATGATGGTGGCGCTGTAGCATGGAAATACTGTCGCGGCGTGGACGATGTATTCCGAGTGCTGCGCTGAAATCTGCTGATCGGCGACCATGCAATTGTAATTTTTTATGTTTGACAAAGTCCTAGATGTTTAAGAGTGGCTAGAAAATCTATTCTATATGAAATCATAAGAATTACAACATGCACAGAGCCTCTGAGTGGGTTTGAAGTCAAAGTACCTCGATTTTGTTCCAGCACGGCGGGCGTTCCATCACGCAGGGGGGGAGGTTAGTTATCTTCAACTGTTTTGCTAGCTAGATCCCCTTTTGAGGAGACAATGGAAATCGTCAAGACCAACTTGCGTTGTGACTCTACAGCAACTGAGCTAAGCAGCGAACGTGCTTAATCATCACCCCCGCGAAATGCGACAGCTGGAGCCTGCTGTGCCTCCCTCACTTTTCTCGGCATATTATACTGTCCCGCTGACAGCGCCCATGCGGTAATTACAACATTGGACGAAACGGGAGTCATGTTGAGTATGCTCAGCTTCCTCAAAGTCCTGGTAGGTAAGGACGACCTGCGAACTCACAGAGGCGCCGGTGTCGAGCGGACAATGGCGACCGCGATCGAGTGTATCTCTGCTAACAGTAGATCTCTCTTTCCACTGATCATCTGGCCAAGCGCGACCCATCGAAGCACATGGACTACATACCCCAACCCATGATGGCATTTTGTAATATGCTCCCAATTTGGATACACGACTCCAAGGTCAGCTTGGACTGGGTCAAACGTGTGTGTGACCCTGAAACTAAAGCACAGGCGAATCAGAAACCGCGTGTTCTTATTTGTGACGGCTTCGGAACCCGTGAGTCGCTCGAAGTGATGGAGTATTGCCTTGAAAACAACATTCTCCTTTGCCGCATTCCGTCGCACAACTCCCATAAGCCGCGGCCCTGTGACGTCGGAGTCTTTGGCCCACTGAAGTCTGCATATCGCGAACAGGTTAAACCATTGTATCGAGGAGGTGCAAACACCGTCGGCAAGCTGCATTTTGCCTCTCGCTATAGCCGTGCGCGTGAACAGGCGCTCACCTCTCGAAACATCAAGTCCGGCTAGTCGAAGACAGGTCTATATCCATTTAGCCCCGACAGGGTACTTAGAGATATCAGAAGCCGCTAGCCGAATTGTACGCTCCGGAGGATCATGAAATGGAGGTGGAATCTTGTCTACAAGGCATATGGCTGCAAACGCCAGTGACATCGGAGGCCCTCCCACCGCTGCAAATCCAAATCGAAGACGATGCTCAATTCCTAGACGGTCCGAGCAAACACCGCTTGCAAAAACTCGCCAGTGCCGCTCAAAAGGCCTTTGCTGAACACGCCCTTCTTCTGGGTAAGAACCGGCTCTTATTCGAGCAGAACAATGAAAGCAACAGTCGCCAATCAGCTAGGTCAACGGTAGCCGGTAAGGCAAAAGTGATAAGCTATGAGGACATTGTCAAGGCCCAGGCGAAGCATGATGCGAAAAAGAGCTATCCTGGTGAAAGGAAAACGTGGTCGAAAGCGCAAAAAGTTCTGTATCAGCAGTATTGGGCGCCAAAAAGACACGGAAGAGTGAAGTAGAGGTTGCCGAGCGAGAGATCGAGGCGCTGGGGCTGAGGAATTACTGCTCTGTTCTGATATTTTAACGATCATTTGAAATCCACAGATGTGTATGTTGTGGAATGTCCAGCAAAAGGCCGAGCTTATCAACGATCTTGTGGATTCTAGAAACTGCACATCCACACCCTTCCAGATCCAACGCCGATACCTACAGTCTTTACGGACACGGCCGAACATGACGGCCGATATTCCGAGGGTAACCACACGAGGTTCTCGGAATTATATGTTATCCACGCTCCATCTGAGCTTAATCCCCATCCTTGATATCGTGGACCTTGGGACTTCGTTATAATTGAGGAGTTAAATGAAGCCAATGACGTATCAAGAGCGATGGTACCGATTTCAGTATGAAGATGCAAACCAGTAGCATCAAATGATATGTCACAGAGTGCCTTCCTAACTTGGAGCGTCTGTAGGCAGACGCCGCTGTCCGCCTCCCAGATCTTGACCGTGTAATCGTCCGCCGCGGAGGCGAGCCAGGTCGAGTCATGTGAGAAGGCCACCGACAGGACCCTATTACTGTGCCCCTCCAGCGTCTGCAGGCACGCGCCACTACTCGCCTCCCAGATCTTGACCGTGCTATCGCCCGACGCGGAGGC